TACCTACCAACTGGAGCCCCTTCTTTAGACATCTGTGTTCAACGTCCAGCAGGCCTCCCTCCTCAGAGATTCTAAATTCTAATAATCCCAGCCATTTCTTCTGCTTCCCAGCCCTTGGGCTGGGAGCTGCTTTGTCAATTGCTGCTGTTATATTCCTCAGTGCTCCCTTTTTCTCTGCCCAGTACTCGGTTAACAAGTACTCTTTGTAACAAGGTCTCTCTGTTAAAATAACTGGTAGAGTTTCTGTCTCCTGATGGGACCCTAACTAGACACACCGTTTATTTCTTTAAAATACAGTTTAAAAAGCCCCATTTGTATCATTTTCCCTCCTCTGGTCTTTATTCTCATCTTGTGAAGCAGGGTGTCTTAATGTTATCAGGGAAACTGAGGCTCGGGCAGCTTTGGCCATGTTTCGAAGTTCCTTCAAGTTGCAAGTGATGGAGCCTGAAGGACTCCAGGTTCTTTGACCGCAAGGAAACTGCCCGTCCTTCCAAAGCCTGACTGCCTGTCCTAATTACAAGGGAAAAATGTAGGACTCCCACCTTGACTTACAAAAATGAGGCTACTGTGTGTATTATTACAAGCATTATAAAAATTATGCTTTAAATGATATATTTTTTGGAAATGAAAAGACAAGAACTAGAATTTGTTAATACGTCTTCATGATAAGTTCCAAAATCTCAATAAAACAGGATGTTCTATGAGGCTTGTAGTACTAAAAAAAATTTACTGTGAAAATGGTGTAGGTTCTTGTTTATTTTTTGTTCTTCTCTGTAAGACATTTTATTGCATGTATATTTTAGGGGCAAGTAATTTAGTTGTGTATTCTTCTGTATGTCTTGTATTTATAAGAGTTTTGAAGTGCATAAATAATATGTATGTTCATCTGCAGTATCAAGGAATAGGGTTTCTCTTTACTTGAATATTCTGTTGGAGTGACTGTAATTGTTATATTCGTTAATCATTTGAAAATAATTAGAATAGTGTGGCAAACATATAGTATTTACAGTGTGCCATGCACTGTTCTAAGTGCTTTACGTATATTAACTTTAGTAATTTCCACAAAAACCCTGAGAGTGGATAGTATTATAATCTTTTTAACCAGTGATATCATATTTTTTTCCATTGATACCATTAAGGCACGGGGAGAATAGGAAACTTGTACAGGGTCATACAGCTGACAAGTGTGAGAGCTGGGAATTGAACCATAGTATCTGGCTCCGGAGTTCTTGGTCCTATGCAGTATACTGACTCTAAGATCACTTCTTTTTTGAATCTGCAATTATCATAGTCAGGTTATTTATGAGTGCTGGAAAATAAGAAAGAGAATGGCAAAGCCAAGTAGAACATATAAACATGATGGTCCAGTGCTATTTTAACAAAGGGATGCCCCCACCCCCAGCGCTTAGGGAGTATGATGGATTGATTGTCTTAGTAGCCCCAATTATTCATGCCTTTCATGCCTCTTTTGTTTTTTTTTTTTTTTTTTTNTTTGAGTTAGATAGGGTTTTGCTCTTGTTGCCTAGGCTGGAGTGCAGTGACGTGATCTCAGCTCACTGCAACCTCTACCTCCCAGGTTCAAGCGATTCTCCTGCCTCAGCATCCTGAGTAGCTGGGATTTCAGGCATGTGCCACCACACCTGGTTGATTTTTGTATTTTTAGCAGAGATGGGATTTCACCAGTTGGCCAGGCTAGTCTCGAACTCTTGACCTCAGGTGATCCGCTCGCCTAGGCCTCTTAAAATGCTAGGATTACAGGCGTGAGCCACTGTGCCCAGCTTTACTGTTCTTTAAACTACTTGTTCCCAGTAGCCTTCCTTGCTGACATCCTTTTTTTTTTTTTTTTAAATATTCCAGTTTATCTTTTGTTAGTAAGACCCTATATTTAAGGGTAAGTGATGCATAGAGTTTGCAAAGTCTTTAAGTTCAGAGCCTCTGATGTTGGACTCCCTGGGTTCAAATTTGGACTCTGCCCTTAATCAGCTATGTGGTCTTGGGAAATTTACTTAATCTCTGTAAGCATTGGCTTTCTCATATGCAAAGTCAAGATAACAGTACCAACCTCATAGCATCGTTGTGAAGATTGAGTGATGAGAGACATGTAAAATGCTAGGCACAGTGCCCAGCAAGAAGTAATCACTCAGTAAATGTCAGCTGTTGTTGGTACCTGATAAAGGATAATACGTACCTAGTGATCCTAAAAAAACACAATAGATACTCATCATTATGCAGAACATAAAGAACGTAATTAAGAACTTGGCAACTGAAAAAATACAGCATACAGTTTCATACCTATTGTGTGATCCTAGGAACAACCCGCTTGTTCTTTTCCCTTTAGTTAGTATTCAAAATTAAGGGAAAATTGTCCACTTCCGATGACTGGGCATTGTAAAAATGGGACACAGTACAAAGCCTTACATAGTCAAATGACTCAATTAGTGTTGAAATGGTCATGTCATGGCATTAGTGGCTCTTCCCTGCTCACCCTGGCTGACAGCTGTCTCTCCCCTCTTGAAGATTTTGGTATGGGATGTGTTGTATGATCAGTGGTGTGCAGGCCTTTGTGGCTCAAAGCAGGGTGAGCTTTTTGACATATGGGACCACGTCTGATTCACCCACCAGTACATCACTCTGCTTGACATGAAGAAGGCTCCCGTGAGTATGCACAGGCTGGAATCAATCGTGTTGTGAGGACGTAGGGTGACACAGTTAGAGGTTTCCTAAGAAATGGGAAATGGACATTTACACATGGAGAGTTGAACTTTAAATTCCACACATACTGGATCAGAAAAGAGAGGTGCAAAAATGCAGTGATTTTAGCATGAAGGCTCAGGTCACCTGTCTTGGCTGGCCTGGGCTGCTGTAACACATTATCATAGACTGGCTGGCTTAAACAAAAGAGAATATTTCTCGCAGTTTTGGAGCCTAGGAAGTTCTACATTAGAGTGTCAGCATGATTGAGTTCTGCTGGGGGATCTTTTTGTGGTTTTCTGATGGCCGCCATCTTGCTGTGTCCTCACATGGTGGAGAGCAGAGAGAGAGGAAGCAAACTCCTATCTCTTTCTATGGGCACACTTATTCCATCATGGCAGCTCTGCCATCATGACCTAATTGCCGTCCAAAGACCCCATCTCGAAATACCACCATATTAGGGATTATGGTTTCAAAATATCAACTTTTGGTGTTGGGGGGGCAGGGGACATATTTAGTACACAGCCACTTAACACCTTACTTAGGATTAACCTTTAAAGAGACAGTGGGACCATCAGAAGATGGCGCTGGTGGTGTCAGTGGTGGTTTGTTAGACTTGGTGGGATGGCAAATGTGACAGATATTGTCAGGATCCCACCCAGCTTTCATCAGTGTGGGAGTCATAACTGGTTCCTGGGTCCATTGGTCAAGTCATGCCCGTGGTGGAGGTAGTCACCATTGACTATATAAGTCTGACACCACCTAGGCTCCAGCTGCATGCTCACCAAGCCTGTGGGTAAGCCTGGGGAAATCATGGAGTGGTGATATGGACTCAAGTATTCTTGTTCTTATGTGTGGTGGGTGGAACAAAAGCTGCCTACATCTTCATCCCTGGGAACTGAATATTCGGTGTTACATGGCAAAGGCAAATTAAGGTTGCAAATGGGATTATGGTTTCTAGTCAGCTGACTTTAAATTAGGGAGGTTATTCTGAATTATCTGGGTGGGCTCAAGGTAATCACAAGCATCTTTAAAAGTAGAAGAAGGAGGAAGGAGACAGAAGAAGAGTGAGGTTGGAGGGTATGATGTGAGCTGAGAAGAATCCAGCCCGCTATTACTGGCTTTGAAGACAGAGGAAGGGGCCATGAACCAGGGAGTGGAGGCAGCCTCTGGAAGCTGGAGGAGCAAGAATAGGGATTCTCCTTAACAGCCCCCAGAAGTCATAGTCTTGCCAACAGTGCGACCCATGCCAGGCTTCTGATCTGCTGAACTGTAAGGTCATACACTGGTGGTGGTGTAAGCCGCTAAGTTTGTGGTAATTTATTAAGCAGCTATTGGAAACGAATACACCACAGCAGTGATTTCTTAGTGTAAATGAGTAAATTAACATTTTTATTTGTTTCAGCTTCAAGGCATGTGGTTTAAACCCTCCATGCGATGGTACAATCTGATTTCTGACTCTGCAAAGCTGACCAGACTTTGCCCCTTGCAGTGAACTGAATGTTTGTGTCCCCTCTAAATTCAAATGTTGAAATCCTGCCTTCAAATGTGATGGTATTAGGAGATGGGGCCTCTGGGAGGTGCTTAGGTCATGAGGGTGAAGCCCTCATGAATGGGATTTTTGCCCTTGGAAAAAGGACCTCAGGGAGAACTCTGGTTTTTTTTTTTTTTTTTTTTTTTTTTTTTTTTTGCCATGTGAGAATACAGGGAGAAGATGGCCGTCTATGACCCAGGAAGTCCTCACTAGACACCAAGTCTGCCAGCACCTAGAACTTGGATTCCTCAGTCTTCAGAACGGTGAGAAGTCACTGTCTGTTGTTTAAGGCATTTGGTCAATGGTATTTTTGTTATAGCATCCTGAACAGACTAACATATGTCTGGCCTACCCTCCACTAGGAGACTGTAAGAATCACCATCACATATTGGGAGCATCTATGTGTTGAGTGCTTTACTAGCGCATTGCCTAGAATCCTCTCTATGGCCCTATGAATTAGGTATGGTTTTGCCCATTTTATAAATGTGAAAACTGTGGTTCAAGTTGAGCCACACAACCACAGTGATGTGATGTGGATTTAAACCCTGGTCTGGGTTCTCCACTCAAGTTCTTTTGAAAACCCTAGCTGCCTCACTGCCATGCTGTCTCTGAGAAGACTCTGTCTCTTGGAGAACCATCAGCCTTGTTCGTGGCATGATGCATGAAGAAAAGCAGCCAGGCAGGAGTGGGACAGAAAAATCTCCCATCAGGCCACTGCTTCCTGCCAGGTCTTGGAATTGCCACCACTTTCCCCTCTCCAACTCCTGCGGCCGCAATGGAGGAGGAGGATGAGGAAGACTGGGCCCTGCTTGTAGGTGGCCCTGACGAGGCCAACAGAGGTTCCCTCACCACCCCCAGGGCCCTGCTGGCCCTCTGTGACCCCAGTCGCCTGGCACACCAGCTTTTGGTGCTGTTACTGATGTGCATCCTTGGCTTCAGCAGCCATTTTTGCTATGACAACCCTGCTGCCCTTCAGACTCAGGTTAAATGGGATATGCAAGTGAATACCATGGAATTTGTGCTGCTGTATGCCTGGTGTTCTCGGCCCTACGGAGTTTTGTGTGTCTCTGGTGGCTTTTTGATAGACCGAGTATTTGGAATATGATGGGGCAGAATTGTTTTTAGCTGCTTTGTTTGCATTGGGCAGGTTGGTTTTGCTCCGGGTGGAATATTTAATGTTTTTTGGCTGATGGAATTTGGAAGATTTGTATTTGGGATTGGTGGAGAGTCCTTAGCAGTTGCCCAGTTGTACATATGCTGTGAGCTGGTTTAAAGGCAAATAATTAAGCCTGGTGTTTGGACTTAAACTTAGCATGGCTAGAATTGGAAGTATAGCAAACACGAATCTCATAAGATGGCTGTATTCTAAGACTGAAGCTTTGTTAGGCTCTGCTGGTCACACAATCCTTGGGGTCACACTTGTGATCATGGGTGTAACATGTATTCTTTCACTAATCTGTGCCTTGACTCTTGCCTACTTGGATCAGAAAGCAGAGAGAATATTTCATAAAGAACAAGGAAAAACAGGTGAAGTTATTAAATTAAATGATGTAAAGGACTTCTCCTTACCCTGTGGCTCATATTTATCATCTGTCTCTGCTGTTGTGTTGCCGTGTTGCGTTTTACTGGACTTGGAAATGTATTCTTTACAGAGAAATGCAGATTTTCTTCCCAGGCAGCAAGTGCAGTTAACAGTATTGTATACGTCATATCAGCTCCCATGTCCTCAGTATTTGGCTGGTGGATAAAACAGGGAGGAACGTCATCTGGGTTCTGCGTGTGATAGCAGCCACTCTTGTGTCCCACATGATGCTGGCCTTTACAATGTGGAACCCTTGGATTGCTAAGCGTCTTCTGGGAATTTCCTATTCATTGCTTGCCTATGCATTGTGGCCAATGGTGGCATCTGTAATTTCTGAACATCAGCTGGGAACTGCATGTGGCTTCATGCAGGTCCATTCAGAATCTTGGGTTGGCCATCATTTCCATCACTGCTGCTTTGATACTGGATTCTCGGGGGCATTTGTTTTCAGAAGTTTTCTTCATCGTTTGTGTTTCTTTGTCACTTTTACCTGTGGTCTTATTCCATTTGGTGAATCATGCCCAGGGTGGAAACCTAAATTATTCTGCAAGACAAAGGGAAGAAATAACCTTTTCTCATACTGAATGAGAAGTTTAAAAGAACGTGTCATGAAAATGGGCTTAATACATCATTGGTTCGAAAACCTCCATTTTTGAAAATGTAGAGTTTAGTCATTAGAAAAAAATGACAGACTGGAAAGTTATATTTACATCCAAATATACCTATTTCAAAGTGTATTTGTGAGGATTATTTTAGCTTGTGTCTTTTGTATTGTGTATTACTGAAGAATTCTACTTTTAGTAGGCTAATCAATAATGTAAGGGTTAGAAAATTGCTCTGGAACATCCAGGTGAATTTCAGGAAGGACAGTGAAAAATAGAAAACATTGGAGCTTCTGTTGAGATCATCTTCATTAAGTATATACCTTAGGGAGACCACCTTTTCTTTATCTTATAGCAGGAAAAGAACTTTTGAGGGGAATAGAAGGGCTGTGTTATACAAAATAAACAATGGCATTGTCATAGGCCTTCCTTTTAGTGATAGGGCATGATGCTAGGGAATATGTGAAGATGTTTTTATGAAGTCTCTTTCTGGTCATGACCAGTAGCTTGCACTCTACTCTGTAGTTATGTGGATTGCTGAGCAATGACTCTTGAATTTCTTATTTCTCTGTTACTGAGGACCCCAATCACGGACATAATTTTATAGTATGAACTTTCTGTACAGTTTTTCTTATAGTCTAATTAATAACTAAAAAGTGTCCTTCAAATTATGATATTTGGTTATTTATATGGATAAATAAAAACACTGCACAAGGAGTACTTGATGTCTTCTTTTGATTTAAAAAAATACAAAATCACTTATTTTAACTTTTATTCATGCAGAAGATTATCAAGAAGAAAAACCCAAGTTAGAATAAAGAAAACTTGCCCAATTACAGTCATTGAAAGATTATGGGGGTAGCTTTTTCTCCAGAGTAGAACTTTAAATAACATTTGTGGGTTTTTTTTAATATTAAACAAAATATGAATATGAAGCTTCTCTGATAAACTTTAAATACTTTATAGTGTAAATGCTTCCTGAATTAACCTGTTTTTCAGCCTTAACATAGTATTTGTTCAAGTCAAGGAATGCAGAAATTTTAGGCAAAATATTAAACCAATGTATTTGGCTGATTATATTGTTCAGAGTACATGGCATGACATTGTAAACTTAAATGTTTGGGAACAGATTGAATGTACGTTCATTACACAAGGTAGCTTGGTAGCTTCATTTACATCAGTTTTTCTGACTTATAGTTTGTTATGTTGATATGGTTTGTCTCCGTGTCCCCACCCAAATCTCATCTTGAATTGTAATCCCTACGTGTTCGAGGGAGGGACCTGGTGGGAGGTGATTGGATCATGGGGGCAGTTTCTCTCACGCTGTTCTCGTGATTGTGAGGGAATTCTCACGAGATCTGATGGTTTAAAGGTGTAGCACTTCCCCTTCCTGCTGTCTCTCTCTCCTACCATCATGTAAGATGTGCCTGCCTTGCTTCCCCTCTGCCTTCTTCCATGATTGTAAGTTTCTTGAGGCCTCCCCATGTAGAAGTGAGTCAATTAAACCTTTTATTTACAAATTAAAAAAAAAAAAAGAAAAGAGAAAAGTCTCCCATCTTCCTGCATCGTTGAAGCTTTCACCATTCCTAGGGAGAAGGCACTAATTAAAAAAAAAAAAGAAAAGAGAAAAATCTCCCATCTTCTTGCATCGTTGAAGCTTTCACCATTCCTAGGGAGAAGGCACTAATGTCCCATGGACATTCTCAACTGTTTGCAAAATGTTGCCAATATACTTCTGCAAGCTGTATTTTTAACTGTTTTACAAATTGTATATGCTTCATTCTAGCCTGGCTTCTGTCATTCTCAATGATTTCCTTATTTTCTTAAATATTTCTGAATAAAAGCGCCATCTTTTAACCTGAACCAGGTCTGGTTAACCTGAACAAAGAAGGCAGCTGACAAACGGTCAGAGAAAGCGGATCAGGAAATGAACATCCTATATAGTAGAGGTTCTTCTTTATCATACATGCAACTCTTGATGAAATGAAAATACATAAAATTGGCAGCAACAAACCTGCTTGGTTTCACCTGCTGCCGCCAACATTGTGATTGATCTGCAGAGCAGAGTTGAGAGCACATATCATTTGTCTGTGGTCTGTTCCAGTGGAATCATATGACATGTAACATCTGACCGTGACTGCCTGAATCCTCCAGACTCACTTTGCCAAAGAGGGAACTCCATCCTCAGGGTTGGAGTGACTTACCTAAGGTCATTCTACGACAAGGTGGCAGGGCTAGAATTTAAACCCAGACTTGAGGCTCCAAGTGTATACTCTTTTTCCTGTACTATCCCAGCCTCTTGTTTCCCTTAAGTGCTAAGCTCAGTTCCTTGAACGTATTAAGAGTCAGCTCTGTAAGTGCTTCCTGAATGAAGCTGAGGTTGTGCACATGAGAATAGTGAATTCAACTTTTTGTTTTCTGGCAGTTTTGCTGGGTGACTGCAGGAAGCACTTGCCTTTCATCATTGGCCAACTGGGGATATCCACCCCTGGAAGTCATTTGATCACTTAAGCTCTCAGCTTGCTCAGGAGGTAGCCTGCAAGGGCCTTGCAGCTTTGATCCAAGTTTTCCATCCAAACAGCCATGTTAATGGAGAGGTTCCTGATTCCAACCAAGCCCCACATTGCCACTCTCTTTCTCAAAGAAAAGAAAGAAAATGTGTCCTCCACTGTGGCTGGGCTACCTGAACGGATCAAGTGCTGGAATGTACTGATTGCTTTGAGGGGCAGGATCCTTTTTGGCTTCATCTTTTCATTTTGCTGCTGGACTTAAGGAGACTCAGCGTATATTGCTTGTTATAAGCTTCGCCAGAGAATATTTCAGTCTTGTCTTCTTCCCCATTCAGACTAAGGCCAGTGAATGCAGTTCAGTTCCAGAAACGGTAATTGTGCACCATTGTATCCAAGTGCTGTGTCAGGAGTAGGGATATGGAAATCAATGTAGGGCCATCTTCTCTCAGGGAAGGCACGATATCTAGCCCAACAGAGGAAGAGTTAACCCAAAGCAGAGCTGTCTGTGTTAAGCTGTGGCTATGTAGCCCAACATGAGCATGAAAGACACTGCTTTTTTGAATTCACACTGTGTGAAGCCTCATGCAAGCTGTCAGATAATTTATGATCTGAATCATCATCAGCAAACCCTGTGACAGGGCAATGTTCTTCCCATTGTACAGACAAAGAAACTGAGGCCCAGAGAGAGGAACCAGAGCATTGGAGTAAAAAGGTTCTGGTGGACCTGGGTTCAAACCTTAGCCACAAATCCTGAGACTTTGGACACTTTTCTCAGCCTCTCTGAGCCTCTGTTGAGTCATTTGTAAATGTAAGTAAGTGGTTGTGAGGTTCCATGGGAAGGTGCAGGTGTTCAAGGGGTTAGCTTGGTGCTGGACAGAGTCACTGCTCATAGCTGAGAACATCCTGTGAGCGACAGAAACTCAGGCACCCCTCTCAGCTGAGTCTCACAGTTTTCGAGAGTAGCAGTGGGTTATCCTATCACCCCTGAGGAAATGCCTGAATAGATTTTGGAGGAATATGTTTATTGGTTGTGCGCTTCATTACTGATCTCTCTGGAGGGATATCTACATTGCCCCTTTCTGGCAGGCTTGGAATTGATGGATGAGAGGGGAGGGAAGATCAGCCTGGATAGTCTCCCTGCAAGAGCCTGACCCAGAGTCTATTTGCTTGGGGGCAGCTACGAATGCAGCAGTGGTCCTGCGGCCTCCTAACTCCTGACCTGTCTTCCTACTCCCGTTTCCCGCTTGGGAGGAAGTGGCTGAAAAACCCCCTTGGCTAGACTGCAGGGTACTGTCTGGCCCTGGTTTTGTCCTGAGTGGCAAAGGGACTACCTGGGGAGACTTTTATCGTTTTGGGATGGTTCTTCTTTTCTTTCTTTTTTGTCTCATTTTATTTCATTCAAGTGATGGGCTTTCTTCCCACTGCCTTTGAGACAGCGCTCTGGAGAGTCTGGCTCAGGTATTCCTCACTAATGTACATTGGCTCAGGGCTGCTTTGATGGATAGAGGCAATTTTCCTTGGAAATCAGCTGCAATATTGGCAGTTCCATGGGACATACATTATACTCCTTTCAGAGAGAGATTTTCTGTGGGGCCTTGAGAGGGAGTGAGCTGTTCAGGAGGGAGTGGGAGAAGTTGAAGTCACCTGAAAGAAAAGGCATCTATTTAAATGTTTGGCATAGCTACATCTCTTGTCATATGGGTCCAGCCCACTCTTGCAAAGTGGCTCCTTTTAGAAAAAGAGGAGAACTTGTCCATGGCTTGTTAATGGTAGATAAATTAAAAGGTGAGGAAGCAGAAGCATGTCCAAGTAGAACAGAGCTCCTGCCATGTGCAAGAGGACTCACAGCCCCTGCATCCTAGAACTCTTGGTTTTCAACTGAGATAAGGGAGACCCATTAATCAAAGGATGTGTCACACATGGTGGAAGGTGCTGGGCACTTGGGAAGAATAGGTCACAATCACCATTCATGTCCTACCAGAAATCACAGTTCTGCTAGGGACACACATGCACACATGGCCCTCTTGATCTAGTAGGGCAAGTATAATAATAACAGCTAAAATTTGTTCATAATCTGTAAAAGCATTAAGTAATTTACATTCACCCAAACTTTCCAAAGTAGATATAATTATCATCTCCATTTCACAGACAAGGAAACTGAGGCATGGGGAAGTGAAATAACTTGTCTCAAGTCATCCCTGGTAAGTAGAGGAGCTGGGATTTAATTGCAGACCCTACGCTTTCCTTGACCCACTCTGTGCCACTGCGTTGGTCTCTTGCTGACCTCTGGAAGCGCAGAGACATCTGAAAGCTCCAAGAGGTGCATTTGCTGGCTCTTAGTCCCAGATCCCTGTTCAATCAGCCCAGCGCTCTTTCCCTCCACCTCACTTCTTGGAAACTTTGCCCTCCTTCTGTGTGGCTTGTCTTGTTGTAGTCGAAGGACAAGGTCTGGAGGCAGCAGGATGTGGGTTAGGAGGCCAGAGACATTGGTCGAGAGGAAACTGAAGTCTTCATCCTAGGCTCTGTGTTGGGTACTGGGG